ATAGATATACTTCACAGCTATTTCTTGCTAAGTTTGAAGATTGACTTTAAGTAGTGAATTCATTCTAATGGAGAAGCGTTTTATGTGCATATATAGTATCCTTAGGAAGGAATGCGATAGCATCCTTTTCTACTTATAATAACTTTCGCGATTGAGTAAAACTTTTCTATATTTAGAATTAGTGACCACTATGTATGTGTTGATTGCAAAACATTCACTGAATACCTGGTTTACAGTACTTGCAATATTCAATACTTTTTTGCACTTGTAGTATTTTCTTGTGCTTTTTAATGAACTAACTGAATAAAGTTAGTAATGTGGGAGGCTTCCAATTCGTAGTGGCTATACCTCGTAATAAAATTGATATCTACCGTGCATGACAGGTGAAAGCAAGCATTTGCTATTTGTTGCTATTTTGTCACAGATTCTTTAGGATTGTGTTTGTTGAAAAGAATATTGATTGGTTTTGGGGTGGTAAAAGTTTGACAATTAGTAGCATAAATCACATGGGGTTTGAGTCTGGCATTTTATCTTTAGTTGCTTTTTGGTCTGCAACTGTTAATCAAAACTAGCCTCTGTTGCATAATAGGAATTGAGATGGGATGTATGATTGTCAATACTAGACAGTAGTACTGAGAGCTTTGGTTATTGTTGGTTTAGAGAAAAAGTTACATATTTGAAGCAAGCCATGTGGGATTACTAAAAATGGTAGTACTGAAAATCATTGTAGTCCTGTTTGGGAGTTTCTTTTTATCCAATTGAAGCTTCAAAATGAGTGCTAGTGATTGGCTTAAAGACTCTTTCATATAATTCAGAATCTAATAGATGATTCTTTCAATTTCACAACAGAACCTCATTATGCTTGAAATCAGTTTTTTTTTTCTTTTTCCTGGGTTGTTGTGCTTCTTGTTTGAGCGAGCCCAAATGTAGTTCATCATTACTGAACAAAAGGGATAGCTAAGCAGAATTCAATATTTTACAAGGCTTCTTTAACAGTACTTGAATTAGCAAACTAATGTTTCAAATGCATTTTTATTATCATTAATTATATAGCCAAGAAAAATATTTCTATGTTCCTTCATTTGTGTCTGCTTATTCAGATTTTGTCTGTGAAAAACTTTGTTTGGGGAAATATACTGGAATTCATCTTATTGTTTCCCCATTACAAGTACTGGAAAACTAGTAGCTGGTAGCTTATGGGTATTGATTTTTACAAAAGAGATGGTGTAGTAATTTTTTCCATTAGAAGTACTGATACATTATTTACACATTATCTTTCCGTGTGTTTCACTTTAAAGTTTGAGAAATAAAGATACTTGCATAAATTTTTTTTAATAAAGTTTACTTTTATAATAATTTTATTTTTTTACAGGATAATTCAAACGAATCTTGGAGGAGTTCATTCAAAGCCCGCCGATTGATGATCAAGGTAGGCCAATCCAACCAACCCAAGAGGAGATCATGGACATGTGGATTAAGGCAGCTGGTGGCGTGCATAAGGGGAGAGTCTACGGCCTTGGATCAGAGTTTAGTCTCGGCCGTCGTACTTCTGGATTGTCTGGTTCTTATTCTTCGTCACATTGCTCGGTTGATCTGGATGAGTTTGAGTAATTGAATAGGAAGGTAGGCGAAGATTACAGAGTTGTATCTTCAAGAAAGTGTTGCAAGGGAAGAAGATAGGCGAAGAGAGGAAGAGGAAAGGCGAAGGGAGGAAGAAATGAGGCGAAAGGACGATGCATTAAGACTTGTCACTAGTGATGTTAAAAGTCTCAAGTCTCAGATAAACTCCCTCTTAGCATCTGGTGCATTTCCTATGCCCCGTTCTCCAGCATCTGATGATAACTAAGGAGTAGTTTCTTTTATTAGCTTGTCTTGGATGGTACTTGGATGTTGAATATTGAATGTTGGATTTTTTGAGTTTTTGTTCTACTTTTGGATTAGTTGAATTAATTATGAAATGGATTGATTAGTTGTTGTTTATGAAATAAATTGGATTGCATGTTGAATTTGGTATTTGAATGCTTAATTGTATTTAGTCTTGTATTGTTGGTTGTACTTTCTGTTTGGCAGGTGGTGTAGTTCTAAAAACAGATTTGGCCATGAAGATATTTTCCAGATTACCCACGGATTTCCCACCGACTCCGTGGGAATTTTGTGCAATTCTTTTTCCAGAATTCAACATTTCCCACCGATTTTCGTGGGAATGTTCATATGTTTATATCCATGTTATGAATCTTTCCCAGCACTTCCATGGGTAAAATTAAATAAAAATTAAATTATTTTTTATACTTTTCACGGATTCGGTGGGAAACTTAAGAAAATTAAATTATTTTATTTTCTTACTTTTCTCACGACATCCGTGGAAAATTAAACTTGGTGACCCCACCAAACCCTCAGTGGAAAACTGGCTGGGAATTACCCACGAATGTCGTGGGAAACTATTTTTCCACCACCCATTTTCCCACCGAGCGTCTCCCCAGGGAATATTGAAATTTCACACAGATTTCCCACCGATTCTTCCGTGGGAAAAGTCTGTATTTCTAGTAGTCATATATACGCCACTTATCACGGGTTTATATAACGTATAAGTTATACCAATACTAATAGCATGTTTGGCCAAGTTTCTTTTGAGGCAAAAGCGCTTCTTTTTTTGTCAAAAACGTTTTTTTCTAAAAATTAAGGTGTTTGGCCAAGGTTTCGAAAGGGAAAAAAGTATTTTTGAGGAGAAGCAGTTTTGAAGAAGCAGACAAAAGTAGTTTCTCTCCAAAAGCACTTTTTTTGAAAAGCACTTTTGAAAAAAATACACTTAGAAGCAATTTTTTAAAGCTTGGCCAAACACCAATTGCTGCTCAGAAGTGTTTTTCAAATTAATTAGCCAAACACAAATTTCTTCTCACCGAAAGTACTTTTGAGAAAAATACTTTACAAAAAAAACACTTCTCAAAATAAGCTGATTTTTGCAGCTTGACCGCACGGGCTATAAGTATACTGAAATTTAGAAGGGATTTTTTCCTTCCTATACCATATATGAAACTTTATTATCAAATATGTGCATAGTATCTAAATTACCCGCCTAGTCCACATTTTTCCTACAATTTCTGTACCATTCGTTTATTAGGTATTAAAAGGGCAGAATATTCCCTTAAAAACGCGCTAAAAATCAGGAAAGAATCTTGGGATTGATTGATTCTATATTAAATTCAATTTTTGAAACGGAAAGGAGATTTCTCTTCTGCGTATTTTTCTCTTAAACTACAATTCAAAAATTTTTAAAAAAGTACGAACAGCTTCAAAAAGTACGAACAGATTCAACTACGAACAACTTCAACAAACTGAATTCAAATTGTAGAATTCAAATCTTCGAGATTCAACAACTCAAAATTGCTATATTCTGTTCTTCGCCGTTTTCAGAAATCAAATTGTCGATCATATATCTGTTCTTCATCTTTTTTTCTCTCAATCTAGAAATCCAAAAAAACGAAAAAATTTAGAATGATATGGGGGTTCGTGTGTATATGGAGACCAAAAAGGAGAATAAAAACTTAGGTTCATATCCGTTATGTATAAGTGTACGAGATTTCAATATGGAATTGGCAATCACCAACGATAACACAAGTGCAGGTTTGTATAGTTCGAAATTGCATAGAATTATGGTTTTACGGTATTATCTACAAAATTACTACATTTGCCTATAATTAAACTACAAATCAGTTTAATGAAAGAATAAATCAATGTTGTTTTCAAAATTATTTACAAAGTTACTACATTTATACGACAAAATAAACTACAATCTATGATTAGAAATTGTTGATTTCAAAATGTCTGACATCCTAAAATGGATGACTATAAAATTTTCACTATATCTACAAATTATCTACAATTGAAATGGAAATTGGGATATTAAAATTCAATGTATCCTGTTTGTAGATATTTTGTAGATAAATTGTAGATTATTTGTATTCTGATTGTAGATGCATTGTTTTCTGTTTTCACAAATCCAAAACGATTAAAACTTCTACAAAATCTTCTGCAAAAAACAGTCTAATTACATTATGTTACAAAAAACTTCAGCTCTAGAGCTGAAGTTCGACAGTTAAAAAACAAAAACTTCAGCTGTAGAGCTGAAGTTCGCCGGTTACAAAACAAAAACTTCAGCTCTAGAGCTGAAGTTTGTACCCAGTTTGTAGATATTTTGTAGATAAATTATAGATTATTTATATTCTGATTGTAGATGCTTTATTTTCTGTTTTCACAAATCAAAAACGACTAAAACTTCTACAAATCTTCTGCAAAAAATGCAATTATGTCGAAAATACCAATTAAGCTACAGTTGAATGAGAAATTGTACCAATATCAAAAACACCAATTAAACTACAAGCTCCAATCGATTTTCGCCATGCTAACTGTATGGTCCCTAGTGGCCAAGCTAGCCTTTTCATTATACTTTGCATTTTGAATCATATTCCAATTATTCAAATTAAAAAGTCAACGATAAACCTCGATCAAAATTTTCTGCTCATATGAAATCGTACGTATTATATAATGACGGTGGTTGTCACTTTAACTGACAACCCACATGACTTGATTAGTTAATTCAATAATTATTTTATTTTATTTAATTAACCGTCATATTTCTAAGACTGTTTCGACTGGTCTTCCTTGAATTAGGAGAGAGAAAGTACGGGAGAAGTGGAATTAAACGGAAACTCTTAATAAAAAATATCTCATTAATTATACCTTTAATTAATTATGGTATAGAAATAGTAATTTGATATACTAAGTGTAATTAAGAATGACAACTAATTATGGTATAGAATGTAAAAATTCCAATTTAGAATGACAACCCAACACGGTACAAGATAATGCAAATTTCCATAATGTGATTATTTTTGATAATTCATCAAACTAAACGTTCCTTTAGGCCTCACAATATTATTATGTCACATGGTGTTTGGTACAAAGTTATATATAGTTTACCATATAAATTATGCCGATATTAAATATGCTGAAATTCAAAATAATAATCAAATACCAGATAAATTAAAGCAAGATTTTATACCCGTGATAGTTATAAAGACCTAAAGCACCTTACTAAGAATATAATACAACATACACGTACAAAAAACTCTCTTCTATCAACTAAAATAATAAGTAATTACAGTCCACCAAAGGGGAAGCCTCCATATTGAGAATTTCTTCGTTCTTCGAGCTAGGATCGAAGACCTTTAGTTAAAGGTGAAGGATCCCATCCGTCCCGCCATATCTCTTGGCGGCGGCTACGGTGGCCAGTTAAGATCAAGCAGCAACGGAATGCTTCTCGACTCCTCCTTAATCTCATCAAAAGTAGTCAAGGAAACCTTAGTGTTTGTTGCTTTAATCGAACGTGGTCTATGTCTTCCCATGTGACCACCCAAAGCTTGACCTAATGAGAACTCTAACCCACAAATTGAACACTCGTGAACCTTTGGCTTGGTGTTGTTATTCTTATTAGTATGTGAATAACCTCTGTTTACACTTAGGGTTTCCCGTTGTACTGCCATCAAGGTTTGGACAGACGAGCTAACGCTAGCTCCTTTGTTCACTTCTCCACCACCAATATTCATACCTAGACCAAGTTCAAAACCATCTCGGTTACAGTTATTGCAATAAGCATTAAACTGCATCCTAGAAGATGCACCTGATAATATAATCAGATCATCAGTACAACCGCCACCAGCAGCAGTCGAAATCTGTTGCTTCGACTGCTGCTGATGGCAGTCGTCTACACTCCTTGAAGGAGACGAAATAATATTGGGATCTGAGATCATGCTTTCACCCCACCCTGAATTATCAGAATAACCGCAGATGATTCCATAAGTATTAGAAATAAAGGAATCACTATCTTCTGTAGTTGTGTCCATAGACATCTCTCTAATTGTTGGAGTTACCTACCTTCTTTTCTTCTTTTCTCTACTATTTTCTTCTTTTCTTTGATTATAAATTGTTGGAGTTACCTACCTTCTTTCCTACTTCGCTTAAAAAAAGTGAGGTCTTGACATATATAGTCAACTTTTATTAATGTCAATATGTCATTCCGAGAAATCTGCTACCCTTCTCATACGTAGTGGAACTTCAAGACAACTTTATCGATCGACGCACTTGGTTGGGAAACAAGTTATTTCATGATTAATTATTACGAAATTAGTTATTTCACCCTCCATAGGGATAAAAAAAATACTAGAATCTCGGAATAACTAATTCCGGGATTAGAAATACTACGATTTTATTCTAACCAAATATGGGATAAACTCACCTCAAATTTAATCCCGAAATTAACTATGCCTTAGTCTTAGTGGAATAAATAGCTCAATATAAAACAATGGTAACATACGAAGTGTTCTTCCAACAAGAAAATAGACTCTATAATATATTTACTTAAAAAACATAGGAAAAGTAAATAGAGTTTAAGCGTAAAAATGTACATGTAAATTTATCTTAATCTATTGCAAGATTGGATTAGATAATAGGATGAAAGTCATTCATTTGATCAAATGTTTGCAGACACTTTGCCAAGGCATACTAAGGCTTACAGTTGGGAAGTGACGATTAAGTAGGCGTTCAGACATAAAAACTATAATAAAAAAAATTAAAAAAAAATAATATTTGAAGTTAAGTTAAAAAAATGATATTTGAGATTTAAAATTATGTTTGAACATGCATTTTACTTGAAGATAAAAATGTTGCTTGTGTGAGTAGGAAAAAGTTCTAAAATTTTTAAAAAAGTGGGATTTTGAAATACACATTTTTGAAAATTTTCCAAAATTTTATGTATAAACAAAATATTGATTTTTTTTTTTTGAAAACATGGGAAAACGTTTAATGGACAAACAGGGCCTAAATCAGCGGCTTTCTCAATCTTAAGACCCAAGGGGGAGAATGCATTTTATATTTACCAATCGTACGCCTTACCCTGAAGATAGCATATTGAAATTACTTTATATGTAGTAAAAAGAAATTTATAAGTCATAAAACCAACGAGATCCTAGGTGAAACATATTACATAGGTTCAATGCACTCCTTAACGCACCTGTACCCAATCAGAATTCATGTTGCCTACTACACAAGACAAGCCAATACCAAGTTTTAATCGAGCATAGACAAATAGAAACACCAAAGAGTCATACAACTAGAATGTGATTCAACTACTACAGCATTGTTCTCCAAGAGATAGCTCAGTGTCGTGGAGACGCATCATGATCTGGATCCCTCGAGTAACGAACATCACCTGGGCTCCTGCTGCGACTGGGGCTCCTGCTGTGACCCCTAACCGGAGAACGCTCCTTAACTGGACTTCTGCTGCGGCTCCTTCGACCATCATCATAAGGTGAATGCTCTCTGACTGGAGTTTGACTGCGACTCCTTGACCCATTATATGGTGGAGAAATGTCCCTTGCAGGGGAACGTGAGTATGATCTCTCACGGCTGTATCTTTTCTCTTCAGGTGAAACAGACCTGCAAAGTGAGGAGTAAATCATAATCAACAGAAAGATGGAAATTCGGATTTGAACAAAGCGTTAAATATAATTTTTCGCACAAAAAGCAACCCAAGTGATGTCCAAGTCACTTCTTTTTTTGTCCAAGTTGCTTTTCTTTTTGTCTAACTCACTTCCTTTAACATAAGCCGAAGGCAACAATGCTTTTCAGCCAAAATTAACAGAAGACATGCAACGATGCACAAAAAATTGAAGTTAATATCAGCAGATAGGCTAACGGCTTGGTTGTTGTTGGATGCACACATGTAATTAAAGACCTAGAGCACCTTTAGGTACACCACGGATCTAATTCAACATAAACGTACAATAAACATAAAATAATATTCTTGCATACCTCGAGTACTGCCTTCTCTTAGGAGAGTAGCCACGGCTGCGGGACCTTGCATAACGTGGAGGTGGAGATCTGGAATATTGAGGTGAGTACCGTCTCCGATCATAGCTGCGGCTCCTACCACTGCAAGAAAATCAAGTTAAAGATAAACATTCAAATGCAAAACAATCAATCATTTGATTTAAAATGGAGGAATACTAACTAGAATGACCAAAATATAGGAAACAGGAAATGTGACAGTAGATTATTGCATAGCACCAAATCACCAATCTTTAAACTACCAGATATTTAGTTTCGGACACTATGCTCAACACCAAAAATGGAGGACAACCAAAATTCAAATAGTTGTTCACTGAGTAGCAAGCAAATTCTGGCTACCCAAGACAGAAATTAAATGGGCTAATATGATGTAAGCAAATGAAATAGAAAGTATTACCTTCCACTACGTTCCCTAGCTCTCATTTCAGTTGGCTTTTTCCTGTTTTCCTCTGCAAAAACCACAGTCAGTTGCCGACCTTGAAAACCCTGCCCATCCATCTGATACTTAGCTTCTGCGGCATCAGCAGGATCCACAAACTGGACAAATCCAAAGCCACGTGGTTGACTGTGCAAAGGAGGTGGGAACAAATGAAGAAAATTAGAAAACTTGAGATTCAATAAGCATGCCATATGGAGTTCTGCACATCAACCCTAGCTAAAGCTCTCTGGGGCTGCTCAAAAGGTAAACCCAAGTCAGAATATATGTCTGATCAGGTTTTAAGTTACAAATTGCCAAGCACGTGAGCTTGAGAGCTTCAGTCTCACCCCAAAAAGAACAAATATCAGGACCCAAGATTCTAAGAGAGATACAATAAAGAAAGTAAAGGACTAGCCGACGGAGCACAAGACTTCCAAACAGCCACAAAACAACAATAGTAAAAAAAATCCTACTAAAATAATGTCTTCATAAGCACATAAAGCAAGCACATGGCTGCTGACCTTGAATGTATCAGATTAAAGATTGACTTGAATTTCTTCAAGACTTGAAATCTTGAAATCTTCACATTGTATTCAAATCCAAATTCCTTCAAATCTTCACTACCATTAACATCACCTTCAACTCTTACTACTTGATTGCTCTTACTACTTCAATGAGTCAACAGAACTCTTACTACTTGATTGAAGTCTTCAAAACTCTTTAAGTTTCGCTGCTAAATCTCATCAATTTTAATAATAAAGCACAACCCAACTTGACATAACAAAAAGATTTAAGAAAAGAATCTAAAATTAAAAATACAGTACGGATTCACCAAAAATGAACTTTAGGCTAGAACTTTGGGGAGGCTGGGGGGAGGTAGGAGCGGTGTCAGCTGCTCAAAACTAAAATATAAAATTGCAACTTTTGACAGGAAAGAGCTTGACCATAAAGATCGAATGTCTCCTTCTATTTTTTGAAGAGAGGGGGGGGGGGGGTATGCTTTCTGCTCTGTTTCTCTTTCTTCTTTTTCAAGGGGAAAAGTTCAGTAGATGAATAGATCGCATGCAAATCAAGCTCACCCAGTGTAGTAGTCCCTGGGCAGGTAAATGTCCTTGACAGGCCCAAATTGCCCGAACGGCCTTCTTAGGTCTTCTGGCCTGCATACAAGAATTAAAGTGAGTGGTATAGCAAGTTACACAAATACATATATTCACACACATGGAACAGGTCTAGCTTAAGTGGCTCAGAGTGCTCTAAAAATATAATTACTGAATCTCAACAATGCTCAGTCTTCAATGTCATCTCTGCTATATGAAAAATTTACCATCTCACACTCTTCCCCAATGGCTGTTCCTCAAGATAGGAATCATCTGAGCATTTTCTAATAAAATGCAAAGTCTATGTGATCCACTACAGGCACAAAATTAATTGAAACTGACATAATGCTTCAGTTCTGGTTTTGCAGAAAGGAAAAAAAAAGTATAGCATGCTTCAAGTCTAGCTCATTAAAAGTTTGAAAAAAAACGGTAATTAGTGCATACCGACAATCATGGCGAAGATTTCGAACTAAGAGACTAGTAGGAGCATCTCTGGTACGACCACCACCATATCGACCCCTGGGGCTCGGGCTCCTCCCACCTCTCCTGCCATAACCTCGTGGTGGTGATGGGCTGTAACTCCGTCTCCTCATTGCAGCAAATCTGATATGAACTGTCCACAGTTTAAAAAGAGTGAGGAAACTCTTACAAAAACATAAATGTCATGATATCAAACAATACATAAACCACACACTGCAGGATCCAAAAGAAAAGGATGATAGGAAAAGACCACACATGCACCCTGAGAAAAGAGAATGTCTACTCAGATTATCAAACAATATTCAATCAGAGGAGTTACTGCAAACATTACCTATCCACTATCATTCTCACATACACTAAGTGTGATAACATTCCACCTTACAAAACTACTATTGATGCCAACCAGAACAAAAGAAAAGAGGACAACAGAGGCCCAACAATTCCCTTTAGATGGCTAGAAAAAAGGAGGCAAAACAATTATTCAAGTCCAAGGGTAGCAAAATTACAAAATTAGATAACTTAGTGGAATTGGTGCGGAATGGAAAGAGAATGATCGGCTAGAGCTAATACATGATAAAGTGCTATCATATCAGCAATCACTCGAATGAAGTTCATCATGTCATTCTCCAACCACAAATAATAAAACCCACAACATGTCAAACTTCTTTAGAAGCCCTCCATCGTTCTACTAGGTGCACGAGGAAGGAGCTTTTGACCCTAGATAATATTTAACAAATAACAGCATGGTAGAATTCAGGTACTGTAAACATTTCCTATCTACTCTCACTCTCACATACACCTACTGTGAATACAACAAAGATTGTACTTCAGAAAATTCCTATTTTATTTATTTTTTCGATGATGTACTATAGAAAATTCCTATAGACGTCAACACAAAAGAAAAGACACGACAGGCCCGATAATTTCTCTCAGATTGGTACAAAACAAAGAAGGCAAAAATAGTAAGAAATTTTGAAGTTGAATAACACGATCGAAAACAAAATAGAGCAACAAAATTAGCGTGGAATCAAACGAGAATGATCAGCTAGAGCTAATACATGATAAAGTGATATCATATAAGCAATCACTTGTATGAAG